TACATGCTGTACCACACTACTGAGTGATTAACATCAGGAATAGAAAATGTATGCATGTTTGGTAGAGATGGAATTTTGTTTCCTTAAGTTTTTCTGTTTGGTGTTTGGTTGAATGTGTGGATGTGGTACCTGCAGACACCCCTTGCTGCATTTCATATATAATCTTTCAACTAAAGAAAGCAGTCACATAAGGCCAAGTTCAACCATTCCTGTAGTTGCAGCCATTGCTGTCACCCAATCTCTGGGAAAATTTGCAGTAACAATTTATGAACACCGTGTGATTTTCAGGCAGAAAGCCATTTAGGAAAGTAAAATCGTTAGCAGTGTTCACGTGAACTAGCATAGTGTAGAAAGCGACAGATGCCATCTCCTTCTTGACTTTGCCCTCAAATCACCAGAACGTCCAGCTTTGTAGAGACGTGCTCCTGTTACCTGTTGAGTAAAAGATGGACACCATCTGCCAATGCCACCTGACATAGTCAAGTTGAATGGCTCTGTGATCTAATTTTAATGAACTGCTAAAATATTCATGTCCACATTTTCCTGGTCCGTAGCCTCTTTCCTGTCTGGCTGGATACCAGATATCCTTTCAAAGATGGACTTCCTTTCGTCCTTTCATGGGCTGCTCTTCATAAGCTTGTTTCTGTTAACCTATACAGCTGTGGGTGTTCCCTCCCTGCTGTCTTCATCCTTAGACCTAAGCTCCTGTGTAGTACGTGGCTACTTGGTGGGAAAAAAAGAGAAATAGTTTTGAGCTCCTGTGTCTCTAAGAGCTGTTCTTCAATGATACTCACATTACTCCTCATAGTCAGGAGACAGTAAGAGGCAATATTTAGGCATACTAACCTAAAAATAACCCCTCTCTTTTGCTCTAGAAGGCTGCTTGACATCAGCCCATGTGTCTCAGTCTGTGAAGTTACAGGGAGGAATATTCTTTTCCAGCTTCACAAAATTGTCTCCTGAAATGTCTTGGCCACACAAGTGTAGTTGTTATGCAACATTCTATCCTATAATAAGGCTGTATCCTCTACTGTCTTTTGCTGAGAAACAAACCATCTGAAAGCAGTTCTTCAGTACACGAATCTGAGCATAGGCATAACTGGGTAGCTCTCCTGGTCTCAGCTGGGATTCCACGTGCATCTAACTCTCCTCCCTGTGGCTCTAGATGCCACCATAGCTCTGGTTCCTTTGGAGCAACTGTGCTCATCAGGCTGTGGTCCATGGGGTCTCTCCTCCTGCAGCTCTAATGGGGAGCTGGGACAGGGAGAGTCCCAGAGAAAGATGGTGCCCGATCATTTGAGAACGAAGCTCAGGGTTGGCACGCTCTTATTTGTTTAGCATCCTTCTGGTCAAAGAATAGCCCAAGATCAGTTCAGCAGACTTTCTTGATGAGAGGCGATGCAAAATCTCATAAAAAATAGTGGATATAAAGAAAAAAGATTTTCTATCTACCAAATTATGTCTGAGATCTTTAAATGTAACTTACAATTTAAAGCTTAAGGCTAGTTGAATGCAGATTTGGTTCTTTTTAATTTATTTTTTATTGTTTTTTTCAGATTTGTTCTTATTCAGTGTCATTTCTAATTCTCAGAGCCTTTTAGCTTTCTGCACTGATGCAAAGTCTACGCCGTGAATCACATCCCAGGACTTGGACTGCGAAAGCTCTCCAGCATTTGTCCTCTTTCTCTGTCCTAGAATATCTAGCTTTGCAATAGCACCTCAATCAATTCAATTAGGTTATTAGTATCATTTCATAATATTTGATATCAATCAATACTGGAGATGCTTTTTTTGATCTCTAAGATACGAAACCTTCAGTATAAATAATATATGCTAGAAGTTCATGTTTGAAAGAAGAACACACAAAGACATTATCTTTTCTCTGGATTAATCTTCAAACTAAATACAGTCATATGTATATGTACTTAGCTTAAATCATCCTAAGTTTTGAACACATTATTAGAATAAATACATATCACCCCGATTCGGTATCACTCAGGAAATGCTCACACAATGGTTGGCAAAGCAAAGTTTCAAATATAGGCAGAATCCATCTTCACAGTACTCAGCAGTCCAGTGCCTCTCTGGATTTCTTTATTGGCTTTTACATTTGATAAGTTCAACAGTTTCAGCATATATTTAAAGTAAGAGACCATCTTGGACCATTTGGAGTTATTTCCAATGGTCCTGGTTAACAGCTGATGGCAAACTTTATTAGAAAGCTCTATAGTGGTGTTGGTGATTCTTATAGAGCTTTCAGTGATACAAACAGCCAGCTGCGGCATGAGTGCCACAGGTTCGCCAACACTGCTCTATTGTTTTCTTTGATACAATACTTGTCATCAGTCACTGTTTTGTTCATTTTAGACACTCTTTTTGCCCTTTAAAGTCCTACTTCCCTCCTTTTACCTCTGTATAAACTTGCTTCATCATATCTGCAATGGTCCCTTTGGAATTATGTTTTTGTGAAAAAGTAAACCTTTTGTGAAAGTAGTTTTGTGAAAAGTAAATATATATATATACATGAAATATACATATACCATACCCCTCAGAAAAATGTACACCAAGAGAACTTCCTGAGCTGATTATTTGGTCCTTCACTGGTAGAGAAGCTTTGCGAGGTGTCTGCCTACACAGCTTTCAAATATTGCTTGGTTTTTACAATGGAACCTATTTTTTGAATGGAATTTGTGCTGCTCTTTAACCTATGAAGTGCATACAAGTGAAACTATTTTGATATAAGTTCAAAGTTGAATCACCTGAGTGACTCAAGATATTTTTCTATGGTTTGAGAAGTGTAATAGTCTAAGAGTTGCAAGCTAAGCAGATTCAGTAGGACATCTGTCTATCCAAATACAGTGATCTGTTACTATACTCTCCTGTTTTAATATTAAAATAAAACTATGCCATTTCCACTAATTATTTTAAACTTCAATATTCTAAAATTCAAGTCTAGAGAAAATTAGACTTGAGATAGCTATTTGTGAACAAAACTGAAATGGTGGCAAACATTGTTGAGAAGGTGAAAATTCTAAAGAGCAAAATGATGCATGTAACTCATTTCCCAGTTATTTGAAGCATACTGTTTTTGTCTTCTGGCTGGGGCTGTAAACACCTTCATGGACAGCATTTCAATTTGTATTATAACCTTTTCTATCAGTTCAGTTAATACAACATTTTGCAGACTGAGAAGACTACCTCAACATCATTTATGTTCATCAAATAGAGGGAGAGAGAAGAAGTGAACCTAAGGAGGTAAACCCCTGATTGGCAAAGGCAATCTAGAATCACTGGCACAGAACAGTGACCTCTTTAACAAAAACCAAGACAAACAGGAATGAAGCAGTTTTCCATAAACAATCTCCCCGACGTCTATTAAAGAATGACACCCTCCTTGATAGTCTGGTGGTATTTAAATTCTGTCACTCTTCTTCATAAACAATTTGATGGTGATTAATAAAGGAATTTATAAAATTAATCTATCCAAACAAAATCCAACCTCACTGAGAAAATTATATTCAAGACTTTGACTGTTAGCTATGCGTGGAGTGACCACCGACATATTATTTGTTCTGTGTGGAAAGTATCCAAATTTCTATTTACAAAAGCATTCCCACTTCAACCAAAAAGATGCAGGAAATGTAAGGTACGCTTGAGAAAGGATCATTTTGGAGAGCATCGGGAGAGCAGTAGGAATCTGTTATAATGTAGTAAGAAAAAGTAGCTGCAATTTGGTATTTGGTGTTGGAGGGTCACAGTCAGAGGCTTTGAAGAGAACACAAAAACACTTTGTTTAACAGTGAGACTGTTGGAGCAGTGGGCTTTTAAAGGTGTACTCCAGTGCAGTTTTTCATTTGTTGCTGAAGTCTTATTTCAACGTGTAGTTCTCAACCTTAAACCATTACAAGTGCCTGTCCTACAGTCAGCACTTGAGACCTGATAGGCACATTTACAAAGTTATCTCATTTTGTTTTCAAGGAATTTTCCTAAGCAAACAACAGGATTCATATTTTCCAGATAAGAGAAACAAGGCTTGGTGGGTGTCAGTAGTCAGGTTATTACAATTGGTGAATTGTAGAACTGGGGCTGGGGATATAGCTCAGTGGCACAAGCACCTGCCTGGCAAGTGCAAGGTCCTGAGTTTGATTCCCAGTACCAAAAAAAAAAAAAAACCACAAAAAAACAAAAAAAAAATTGTAGAATTGGATTTGAAATCTTTGACCAGTTGATACTAAAATCTATACTCATATTACACATTACTGACCTTCCCAAAGCATGAAAAATAAAAAAATGATACCCTAATGAGAAAGTTACTACCTAATTTTACATTTGACATTAAATGTTTTAAAAATTCTTTTTTACAGGTAGAGTGTGGCAGTTTGATAGATGGAATAAGTTTTGGTACTCTGTGGCACAACAGGGTATCCATAGTCAGGAAAGCAACTAACATATACTTCCAAATAAATATAAGAAAGGATTAGGAGTGATCTTACCACATGAAATGATACATACTCATTGATGGTGATGGATATGTTATTATTTTGATTTGATCTTTATAATACATATATGTATTGAAACATCACATTATACCCAATTAATATTTAAAAATATGATATATCAATGAAAATTAAAAATAAAAGAGAAAAACTTTAAATATGCTAAAATAAAAATAATTTTTGACCAATTTTGCATGCTTATATCTGGTAATCTGAACAACTAATTTGGAGACAACAATATACAATATTACAACCATTGTTGAGTTCCTACCATCTTGTTTAGTGAAGTTCTGTATCATTTCTTATCTTTTTAAATTATTTTTTATTCTCTTTAAAATAAAAAGAAATGAAAAACTAATTTTGATAATAAAATGAATATGATATATAGCTTTGAGCCCTATTTTTCTATATTTTCCAGCATGAAACCAGTCATGTAGAGGAATACTTAAAAGTTTCAACGGTTATCATCTGAAAGGGATTTATCGATCGTTTAACTTGCATTACCTTGGATAATTTTGTCTTGGATTCAGGCTTATCTTTGGTAACAAAGTCCTTAATGAGCCGAGACCGGTCATAATTAGCATGTTCTGAGTCATCCATGTAATCTTTGTCTTTTCCTAGGGCTAGAAAAGAGAAGAAAGTTACCTCCACCTTCATCCTTCTTCTTTCTTTCCCACTGAAAGCGTGGATCTCTCATTTGCATGCTCTTTCTAGGTTTACCTATGTGTAATTTCCCTGGATGCATCCAACACTAAGTCACCCCCAAAGGGCAATCCTGTGAAAGCTTCATCTGTTTTTGCATTAAACGGCACACTGACTGCAACTTTCTGAAGCAGTATGCACATGTGCAGTTTAATGTGATCATACTTTGTGAAAACAAAATTATAACCATGAAGACTGTATTAGACACAACATCTATTAAAGACAAAGATATTTACAAAAATAAAAAAGTATTCTTAAGCACTTAATACCTGCACAAATCTTTAGATTTTTGTCATTAAAGTTGTGAAGTTTTAAAACTGTGAATTTGGTGGAAGGGTATAAGAAATCCGGAGGCGGGGGCATAGAAAACATGCTGAAGTTATTGCAGGAGAGATAAAAATTAAGAGATTAAAACTGCATCTGCCACATAAGGGGAGAAAACATTGCAAAATGATGGCTACCATTAGAAAATATATAAGACACTATAATAACAATTAAATATAAAGATGCCTATCGTTAACCAGTAAGCTATAGTCAATATGAAAGAGTGTCAGATAGGAAACCTCTATGGTGGCTGTAGTTGGCCAGAACTGTTAATGCACTTCACAAAAACTCATATTCTGTGTGAAACAAGTATCTCCTCATATTAAAAAATGACTAGATAAGGGCTGGGGATTTAGCTCAGCAGCACAGCACCTGCCTGGCAAGTGCAAGTTTGTGAGTTCAGAAAAAAAACAACAACAAAAAAATGACCAGATGGCTGTAGAATTAGCCTCTTCAAAGAAGTCAGAGTGTCTTCATGAGAGCTATGTTGCTGAATCTGTTCATACCCATCAAATATGACTTTTGGCGTGGATGGCTCTCTGCTTTGGAGAATTCAATTAACTGACTTTTCCTAAGGAAGAAAGACAACCTTGTTCCTAATAAATATGCATTAGTTTTTTTTTACTAGTAGTGGTTAGAATCTGCTATAGCAGGATATATTATGTTAGAGCAGCTAGGAGTATCATATTAGTAATAGTATAAACTAAGATCCTTTACAGGTTGTTTTATATCTTTGGATGAAACGAGGAACCAGTTATGTTAAAATGTTCTAAGCATTTCATGGGCCTATCTAAGTTCTCCATACCTGACCCTGATTGCAAATTAACATTTGGTGAGTTCATGCTGGAAACATCCCCTGCATTCTTTTCTGTCACTCTGATAACAACTCTATGAGGGGTATATGATCTCGTGTACATTTTATTTATTTATTTATTTATTTTTTTATTTTTTTTGGTTTTGTTTTTTCTCCGGTGCCGGGAACCGAACTCATGACCTTGCGCATGCCAGGCATGCGCTTTTGCCACTGAGCTAAATCCCCAGCCCCCTCGTGTACATTTTAATAATGAGCAATCTAAAGCACAGGAAACTACGTAACGCATCACTGTCAACAAACTGGTAAGCGATGTATCCAAAACCACAGCACATCTGACGCCAAGCTGATGTTTGCAAATATAATGTAACATTTCCCTAGTTTAGACAAACTACATTTCATTCATTCAACAACTGTTTATTAGATACTTATGATGTATAAGACACTCATAAACGTTGAAAACGCAGTCAAAAAACACAACCCTGCCTTCATTGACATTCGAGAAACAAAAGGAGTAATTTTTTAAAAATAAGCAAAAACAACGATCATGATGAGTGTACCAATCAGTGTGTCGGAGGAAAACGCAGCAGTGAGGAAGGATGAGAGGTAGGCGGGGCAGCCACCCTCACACAGAGATCTGTCAGGACATGCGAGTGAAACCCTCAGGAGGTCGGGCAGTGAGCCACACTGGTGCACTGGGGCAGGGAGGTCAGCAGCGACAAAATACAAGTGCAAAAGCTAGACTTGCCTCGTGCTATCACGGAAGCAGGAAATACTCTGCAGTTCTGGGGCTGGCTCATTGAAAGCACTACCAGGACTGCACTGTCTTCCAGATGGCAGTTGGTGAGGCCTGGCTGTTGGGTTGCTTAGTGTTTCTATTTTATTTCCTTTCCTTCCCCGCTCCCTACTCTCACCCATCCTTTCTTCTCTCATGATCTTAGTCCACAAGCAAGAAACCCTGAGTGGTTCCATGGCAAGAGGCCGATGGTGTCTGCGACCAGAAGCTATGCCTGGCCAGGCGGCCTGGAGGGGTCGTCTCCCACCCTCTGTCTGCCACTTCCCAGCCAGGTAATGCCCTTTCTTGTCTTCATCTGTGAGAGAATTTTAGGAGGAGGCTTCAACACTAGAGATTAACTGATACTAACTTAACGCTTACGAAAATAAAATAACAATTTATATTAACGGATCCCCTTACTTTCCATGGACCACAAGAAATCAAACTCACCATTTTTCCACCTCATTTAAACTTTTTATTCCACTCTTAATCCACTTTTTCAGGCAGATTCTTTGCTATTTAGTTTGGTTTGAGTTTTATTTTTTTCCTTTCTTTCCCCTTAACTCTATAAATATTCTTACACAGAAACACCCTTATACCATCATCTCATTGGAGAAAGGTTACCCATTTGAGAGACTTGTCAAGCACTAAAAATTCACAAGGGCTTTCTAGAACTTTTCCTGCTGTCTTCCCTGCCCACAGGCCCAACTATAGCTCATGATTTTCTTTTGCTAATTCCATCACACTACTTTCTTCTTGTTTTCCTCCTATCTCTCTTCTTTTTCTTCCTTTTTCTCCTTTAATTCTTTTGAAATTAGAGAAAATTAGTGTAGAGCCCAGTATCTTCTTACCAGTTCACTTTGAGTAAAATGTTTGTTTTATGCATTCAGGTGTCGACTCAAGGGGCTTGACCATACTAGACAAGCACTGTACCACTGAGCTCCCCCAGCCCCTTTTATTTTATTTTTGACATGGTTTCCTCAAGTTACCCAGGGATGAGCAGAATTTATGTCCCTCCTACTTCAGCCTGCTGAGTAGAAAGGAATGCAGGGATGCATGACCATGGTCAGGTTATCACACATTTAACTTGAATACAAAGTCCAGCAACACTTGGTTTTTAGAAGACACATTCTCACAAGAAAGGAAGGGAAGAAAGTAGAAAGAAAAAAAGAAAGAAAGAAAGAGAGAGAGAGAGAGAAAGAAAGCTTATTCTTAAGTGAAACGACTGGAAATTTCCTAAAAGTTTAGCTGGGAGTGGTGGTGATCAGAGGCTGAGGAGTGTTTTGGGGCAGGTTGGGAAGTGGGTGCTGATCAGTAACTATTAAGTTACAGTGAAAAGCAAGAAACTCTGGTTGCTCAGGTGATTACAGGTAAAAAAGCTACAAGATAGGGTTCTGAACATTCCCAGTGTAAATAAATGATGAACTGCATTTAGTCTGATTTGAACATTACACAATGCATACAGTATATGTAACAAAGCATTACCTGGTACTCCATGAATTTGTAAAATTTTTTATGATTTTTATGTATCAGTTAAAGTAAATTCTAAAAATTTTTAAAAATAAAAGAAAAATTTCTCTCATTGTTAGGAATGCTTTCTTTTCTTACTGTTATCTGTCTGGAAATTATGCAAAAGGACACATATTTATCTTATCACAGAAATCATAGCTCTCAGTGGTTTAACAAATGCTTTTTGTGAATATAAGCAGGGCTTAAAGTAGTTTGCATGTTTATGTTTTGAAAAATACTTGCTTATTTCTCGCAATAGTTTATGCCCAGGACTCCTTACGACTGTGTGTTTCTCTGCGGGTTGCTGATCATTTCGTCATGGCAAACAGGTGCTACGTGCCGTTTCTCATTTAATAAATGCACAAGTTCTGCAGCAGAGAGAGACTATTCTAGCTGGGATGAATAGAAAACACAAGGGACAAGAATTCCTATGCTCTTGAACTTAACAGTCATGAAGTTAGAAAAAGAACAAATATCACCTTATAGGTATTTATCAGCAGGGCGATGTGGTCAGTGGAGAAAAGTAGAGGAGAGAAGGGAGAAAAATCACAGCTGCAGGGAAAGAATCTGCTTAAGGGTGGGTCCCGAGTTAATGCTGGAACGAAGATGACAAGGAGGAATGTGCACCACTGCGGCAGACGGCTGTGGGCCAGGGTGCGGCCATGCAGGGGATGCAGGGTTGGGGTCCTGCTGACCTTGCTGGGCCACGGCCAACATTAGTGTCACTGCGGAGGGGCTCGAGGGAGGAGTGGCGTGACTTCCTGTTAGAACTGGAGTGGAGGGAGTGGGCTGTGGCTTTTGTTCCTCATTAAACAGGGAGCGAGTGGGTGAATATGAGCAGAGTAACACCCTCCCTCTTAGACTGGGACAAACTCACTCGCTGATGAGCACCCAGGCCAGAGACGGAGCGCACAGAGGAAAGACGACGAGTGGGGAGCTCTTGGAAATGCTGGGAGGGAGCATGTGGGTCTGACTGGGACGGTGGAGGGAGATTACAGAATGGTGGGACCGAGGGTGCGCTGACAACAACAAGGGCAAAAGCAAAACACCACAAAAATAAAAACTATGCAGCATTTCAAAACAAGACGATAGGAAGCTAACAATGGTTGTTATATTACCTATTGTTGTCTTTAACTAAGTTAAAGATTCCAGATGTAAGATTGCCAGATGTAAGAATGCAAGATTGATCAGACAATTAAAGAGAATAAAAAATAATAAAAAAATTAGAAATAATACAGAGTTTCACTAATCAGGATGCTAGGAATTCAACCAAGATTGTTCGATTGCGTTTTTCATGTATTGGTTAATGAATTTGTTACTAGCCTCATTTTCACCGTGAGGACAGGAAGGCAATTCCCTGTGGTCTCACTACCTGTGTGTTGCAGAATGAGAGCCTCTCTGGTCAGACTCTGAGCCTTATATTCTTAACCACTATGCACGAGCACTGCTTCCCACAAAGCGGACTGCTGAGCAACAATGTAGAGAGAGGATGATTTTGGAAA